ACTGGTTTTCCTTAGATAGAAAACTTTGAATCAATTTGACTGTATGATCTGGTTGAACTGTAAAGTGCCCTAAGATGACATGTGTTGTGAAATGGCGCTATAGAAATAAACTGAATTTAATTTAATTTAAATTTTCTGATAAAGCTTCAGGATTGTTCGAGGGATTAGTTCTAATGCAGAAGTCTAGACTATACTACATTTGACTGTTTAACTCTCTTCAAAGATCTGCTTGTTTGTATTGCATTTATAAAAGAAAAGTACAAAAAACTAAATGACTAATAGAATAATTTCACTAACTGCTCACCAGACTCCAATAGGATCCCACATTTTCACCACTGAGCTACATACAGTATGGCCCATTTAGTCACTTAATTGATTTTGTAGTCATAACAATGCTGAGGAGGCAGAATGCTCCATAACATAATATTACAGAGCTGTGGAGTCTGCCCATTTCATATAATGGAATGCTATTGATGTAGCCTATCGTGAAACTGAAAATATCCTGAGGCAGAGTAAATACTGGCTCATCTTTAAAGACAATCAGGTGAACGCCATAGACAGAAGTAACAATTTAGGGATTACTTTTGCAAAAACAGGATTTGCATTTTGAGAGGAAGAATGTATATTCCTACACAGTAATCTTTTTAATTATATCAACAACTTGAGGTTTATATACTTCGGTTTGTTGTGGTAAAGCAGCCCAAAATAGTGAAAGGAAAACTATGAAAAATTTTTGCTTATTAAAATCTAAAATGCATAGCATGCATTTCCATATATATTTTTAACCCTATACCCTTAAATAGAAGGCACATCAACACATTGAATTTATAAGTCACCATTATAATGACAGAATATTAAAATCATTCAGACTACTTAAGATAACCGATTATGACATTTAAATCAGGGTTAGGTTGGTAAAATATTGATTTCACAGTGCAATGTTTGATCCCTCATCCTTGGAAATCATATGAAAAAATTTAACCCTACCAAGACTACTGTAGCAATCAAACTAAACAGTCCAGGTATGAAGAAGCAGCTTAGATATCTATGATAACTTCAAAAGAGTTTTACAGGTAAAATTCAATGTTTTCATCAGGAGAGACATTTTCTAAATGAAAAACTGTGTGAAAGGAACAAACTAATGGTGTACATCACATTGAACACTTGAGACATAGTGGTGGCAGCATCATACTGTGGAGATGTTTTCTCTCCAAGGAGAGGAGAATGGGTTTAAAGACAGATTGATAATGAAAGAAATATTGTCTAGGAATTAATAATATCCAACAGGACATATGTTTAAAAGGATATGAGTATAAAACATATTCTGTTTCTGGAAGAGAGGTGACACTGCACACCTCCTGCTGGGAGCGGTGCTTATTCTGTTTGACAGCTGCTGGCAGGAGGGACTCTCTTTACAGCAGCCAGTCACTAACTTCAATAATGAAATAGTTAAGTACCGGTAAGTGTTTTCGCTTTACAGCCCTCAAACTTGCAATAAAAAACAGTCTGGTTAGCGGGTGTTTTTATACAGAGACGGGACTGAAAATCTAAAAGGGTAACATTTCACATAAAAGTAACCTAACATAAAATTTTTAGTATTTCTTCCCATAATCGGTTTCCTTCTTATGCCTCATCTAATCCAATGCCT